ACGCCTCTCTCTCTCTCTCTCTCTCTCTCTCTCTCTCTCTCACTGTGTTTGTGTAGTGCTATGCATCTTTCTGCAGACTCAAATACTTGATTTGTCAGAACAATATTGTCATTCTTTGATATCTACACTTTGCAAACTAATGTTATCTCAACATAAGGCAATGGTTAAATTGGTTCAGATAATCCACAAATATGGATGTATCACAACTGCAGCTATGCTTTCTGGTAATGCTCCCTTGTGTCAATCAATATACTCTATTCTCTAATCATGACCGACTGCTCCCCTGAAGCTAAGCTTGACACCATATTGCTTTGGTAGAAAAGATGAATAGGTAATGAAGCCACATCAACAATGCAAAATGTAATGAATAAGCAAATTGAGCCATCATCGACTGATCGCTGGGAAGTGTTTTTTTGTAAGTTCCCAAATGATATCAGAATTTGTTAGATGTCAGATAGCATCACATTGTGGAATACAGTGGGGCGCTTCTTATGAGTTTGAATATTGTTATAATTCCTTTACTTCATGAATGTTGGCAATTGTAACAATCATCTTTTGTGTATGTTATCAAATTTTGTGAGAATCATGCGCTACGAGACTAGCTAATATATCTTATGAGCTACGGGAACAGTTTGCCGTTTCCAGCCAATAAATCATTTCTTTAATTGATGTATATACAATGTAATGGATATGACCTGTTTGGAGGTGAGAATTTTGCTGCTGTCCACAAAAAAGTCACACTTCCATCAAGCTCTTTCCTCTACTGTTAGAAACTTTTGTAAGATCCTCTGTAGAATGGTACATTCAGCTTCTTTTTATGAATCAATTTTGGTGATGAATTATTGATTGTACTTCAGCATACAAGTGCTTCTTGTCATTTTGTCATTAATCAAAGTAAAGATTACTATCAATCATTACTTGACTGTCTTTACAATGCTTACTACAAGTCATCGTGTTTCACCGGCTTAAGAATGAAATGATGAACTTAGTCATTTGATTTTAGGTTTGTGTTGGACTGATCCTATACAAATCTGCTTCTTTAATATCTTGTTCAACTTTCCATTTACGACTCCGTTGTTCTAGTCCTTTAGGATGCAATATAACATTATTCAGATTAGAAGGAAAGACATAGCTTGTCATGTAGAAAAGAATTTTGAGCATTGCAAAGTTCAGAATTTTTATGGTGCATTTGATGAGGACAATCTGTCATGGAGCATATGTTTTGTACCTGTGGAGACTGAGAAGAATTGATTCCGGCTTTACAAGTACTATCAGTTTATGAAAGAAGGTTAGTACTATAATGCTATATGCATCAGTTGATTCTAAGCACTATCGATCGAATGAGAGAAGGTAATCGCTCCGATTGCCATATGCATCCAAGTTTCTAAAGGTGTAACAAGATGGGGAAATTGTTAATGGCATTGTTTCTTTGTATCAGTGAAACAGAGATTTTTGGCATATTAGATGATGTGTATGCATCCAAGCACTGTTTCTGTGCATCAGTGAAACTAAAGAAAGTTCATTACTTGGTGTTATGTATAGCTTTAACCTCAGACTATTAGATGCTTATCGATCCAAAATGCTACCATCTAAGTAATGTTTCTTCCATTGTTTATGTAGCTTTAACCTCAGACTATTAGAAGCTCTGTTTGTAGATGTTTGCAGTTAAACCACTTCTTGTTTCCTCGCATTACAATTTAGCTTCTATAACATGCAAACTCATGGCTGTAGGATCAGCTCTTGCACAAATAGTTAGACCAATTGTGGATTGTCTCATACACTGGAGACAGGTTCAGACACTGTAGGATTCAAGGACACCGAGTCTTGAGCAGAGACATCAAAGAACATATGGTGGGAAAGCAAACCTTGTGTTTCCCTTCCTTCAACCAGGACTCGACGATGTAGCATTGTCACATGTTGCTGACAATTCTCTTTGCAGGCAAGTTTCTCAGTTGTTTGTTTCTATGCTCTCCCTGAAGCATTTCCAGCTGCTGCTTGGCATTTTGCATGAATCATTCCAGAGAGCATCACATACTGCACAGCGCAGGGAAATCACTTGCCACACCCAAAAACTAAGCCTGTAAGCCAACATGTGGAGCAGTTGATGGAGACTTACATGTATGTCTCTCATGATAAAGATAAGCTGGGAAGCTCCATCAAAAAACACTTGTGAGAGACTACTCTATAATTTTTCTCAAATACAACTTCTATGTACAAAATCTTGAAACCAGAAAATTTATATAATGTGTCGAGAAACAGACATTAATCGGAATCTACAAAGGCAGAATCACAAATAGCAACATCCAGCAGATGTAGCAGAATAGAAACATGTATTACCCATCATGCTCTCAAGCTATAATCAATCTAACAGCAAGATGTTATATTTGATTATAGCTTTACCAGAGTTTAGTCGTTTAAATAACAATAAATGAAGACAAGTGTACATTAGTTGATGATGTAAAAAACATTGCTGAACAGATGCCATCAACTACTATAGTACATACATTACTGGTTAGCTCAGCAAAGTACAGATCGTCAACAAAGAAACCAAATCAAAATTCATAGTATCAAGTAAACCCCACAGAAAATAAGTCCAGTGCACTCCCAAGTACAAAACCTGCATTTAAGGCCAATAATTCATTCACAGGTATTTTGCAAAATGGATTCTATTATACCAATCAGGATGGACACAATTTAAAATTCTTTCAAACCATGGCTTTGTACTATCAGAAAGCCATTCTGCTAGGTTTAACAGGAGATCACTATTAGAAGCTCCAACCAATCCTATTTCAAACAAATAAAGATCACAAAATTCCTCCATGGTGATGGTCATGATATTCAACTAATAGTAGCATTCTTTTGAGGCTCTATGGGTGCATCTTCCATCTTTCATATATTCCCATTGACCTGAACCCATGCAGCGACTATACCCCAACATGTTTTTCTTGAACACAAGGAATATATACAGGACAAGCTACTTGCAATGGAAACTGAATGAAGAAAAAAAAATCAACTCGTAGCTAATGGCTCCTTGACCGACATCAATATGTGGGCAGACTGGGTCAATAGCTTGGCATGGTTGTGTTCTCCTTCATAAGTAACAATCAACATTGTTGGATCTTCAACACACCTCTCGACATGCTTTTTTGCAGGGCAGCCCTTCATGCTGCTGCATTTGTAGTATCCTCTGCTCGATTTATAGCAGAAAATATTTTAGTACCAAATTAAAGCTGTATAGAACAGTATTACAGGACAAAAATCATTTAATAGTACATAAGATTGACTATGATAACACTTCCATATCATCGAAGAGAAGTGCAGTGAATCTACTAAAATACTCCACTGATGGAATTATTAGTAAAATGTTCGAAGTCAATTTTAGGATTTAAAAGTGAAAATAAGCAAACAAAATGGTATTTGTTACTGGTGATTGAACCGTGGGACCTTTACTTTGTAGCATGAAGATCCAAGACTCACGGAGATTATATGTTGAAACCTTGAAGGCCCAGCATCTTAATCAGCCTTGCATGTTATTTGGTAACTGAAACAATCTGGAAAAGTATGTGAACATACTTAAATTTAACCAACATTTGAGAAATGCTAGACCTATTTTCTGCTATAAAAAAAGAAAAATTACTAAAGAAAAAAATAAATTATAACTAGCAATCTATTATTATTCTGATAAGGAAATTGTAAAATAATAGTTTACTTTTTGTTTGAACTTGGTTATGAAAAGAAAAATATAAAGAACTTGTTAGCTAAAGTTCCAACAAAATCAAACAAAACAATGACTAGATCCATGCAGTTTCATCATCTGAGAGAGAACAGATGGAAAACAAGGACATGCTTGTTTTTAAGAATTATTACCTAAATTTGTGTACCACTGGCTATTTAAATTTATCAATAATGATTCCTGCTAGATTACCATTACGGCAATGATGTCAAAGCACAATAATTATGCAATAAACAACAAACATCTGGCATGTCAGGTCACTCAATCGAAGAGAAGTGTTTAGGAAAGCCAACAACACCATACCTAGGATAGGGAGAACCCTTGATTGGCTTCTGCCCATACTTTCTCCATGAGTAGTCATCTGCAGGAATATCTCCAAGCTTGTTACTTATAGCAGGAACCTTAATGGTTCTCTTCACTCTCAATTTCCTGCAAAAGCCAAGGAGAACTTTGTCTGAATGAGAACATATTCATGAAAAGAAAATAGAAAAAAAAAAACATTACACAGGACCCCTGACCTCTTCTTTGAGCAGTGGCACCTGCTTGTTTTGGCACATTTGCCACTTCCATCATTTCCTCCTCTAGAACACCTCCTCCTATCATTTAGGTGCCAGTTCATCGAGTCGGACAACTGTGGTCCACCAAACAGGTTGAAGGCCTTCCCATCCATGCTCCCCATGCTACCATCAATGCTCAGGGATGACAAGAAAGAACGAGAAGACGATGCAGTTGCTGTGCAGCTTGAGTTGTCAAACATGAGGTTCTTGCCGCTATTGCTGCTTCCATACATCTCATTCTGGAACTTCATATGCTGCTGAATCTGAAACACCTGACTGTTGTGCTGCTGTTGGAGGAAGTGAAGGTGGGTGGGGTTAGGACTGTAGGCAGCTTGAACAGTGCCCCTGGAAGCTGCATCCGTTGCAGCTGCTGGATTCTCAAGCAACATTCTTGGGGGGATTTGTGGAGGGATCTTGGCAGTGGAACCCAACTCGTTAACTGGCTTTTCTAGTAGGTTTCTTGGAAGGAATTGGACCAACAGTGGAAAAGGTTCGGCTCTGGATACCGCCGGACTATCTAAGAAGATGGTATGGTTAAAGTGGAGTTGTTGGGGGTTCGTGAGCCTCCTTAGCCTCGCATGACCCACACCATTACTAAGCATGGAAACAACCTTGTTAAACATAGAAATAGCGTTTCCGGTCTCTGCCTTTAGAACTTTGAAAGCTAGGGTTTGGTCCTCAGTCTCGGATAGCAGGTTCAGCACTCTGTGGCAGCTCACCACAGCTGCGCTATTAGCTTCTTCCACACCCTCCATCTCAGAAACCCCTAAGAGTGACCCCCTACAGATCTCTTCCGCTCACCCAACACACACTCCCTCAGCAGCAGAAATTTCCCATGTGTCGCCACCTAGATAACCAGAGATGAATCACGAAGCAACCGAACTACGCATTTCACCAGATTTCGCTCTCTCTCACAGTGTTCAAATGCGAAAAGCAACTGATTTGATCTACTGTAGTGCAACTCAATCAGAAGAAAAAGGGGGAAGACGAATAGTCCTCAAGAAAGGTCAAAAGGCAAAGCAAAGGGCATCCGAGGACTTGAAACCAAGCTAAAAAAGAAAGCATCTAAATATCAAACACAAGAGAACACCATGAAACCGGTAAGCTGAGGTAATCCAAGATCCAATTCTGACGATACCGATCCGCTATAGCTGCCATTTTTTTCTCCCGTTTGTACCGATAGCATCAAACGCTAGAAGAAATCTTTCGTTTCCCGGAAACCTACAAGAAATAAATGATATCTCGACACCAAAGGCGACCGGAAGAGACGAAAAATAAAATGAAAAGAAAACCCCTCAAAAGATGGGAAGGGAAGACGGAAACCCTAGAAACCGACTGCGGAGGTTGCAGGGCGTCACAGCCAATACCAGAGAGAGACAGAGAGAGAGAGAGAGATTTCCTTGAACGAAAACACAACGGAAATTAAAGAACTAGATTCCGAGGAGAGGGGAAGGGTACACCGCCACCGCTGGGGGGATCCTCACCGCTGGAAGTGGATCGGACGGCGGAAGAGAGGTCGAATCAGTGTTGGAGGTCACGGGCTCTGATGATGCGGGCGCCACGCGCCGGCACGACTCGGCTCCGATGGTTAAATCTTGGGTTAAGCAATCGGTTGTCGCTTTGCTCTTTTATCATCGACCTTTATCGAGCCGGGATCCTCTCCAAAAGGATCCGACATCCGACTAGAATCAGACGGTTTACCATACCCAGAATCACAACTAACGGACAGATGAGCGTCTATTTTTCAAGAAGGATTGGAGAGAATCTACAAACCTTCGTTCCTCAAAGTCGTGGTGGTCGCGGTCTCGGTTGAGACAACGCCTCCATGTGTATGTTGACGGGGGGAACGGAAAGGGTGCGGTGGCGGTCGGCTGACGCGGACGTGGGACCCGACGACCCTCACGAGTCGCAACGCAGTTGACGCGGTGGGACCGGGTAGCGTGTATGAACTCGTGGTTGGGTCGAATATTAGGAAAATTGTCATACAATTCCCTATAATAATTAATGGATAATCCCTTAAATCAACTGCAATTAGTGAGCTTTAACATGTGTTTTCTTTTTCTTTCACATCCTAATCTTTCTAATTTTCATTACACATAATCCCTTTGCCGATTTAATATGCATGGAGCTAAAATTGCCCAATTTCACATAGCTTAGTGGAGGGTGTCACTCTCAAAGATGTCCACTATATGAGAGTCAAAAGTGATGTGCGGATGGCTAAAATTTCTCATTCTTGTCTTTCTTATGATGGAATTAATTATTTAATTTAATCATTTAATATTATAATAAGTGATATAATAAATATTTTGATTGTAGACTTAAACCATTACTGGGATTAAATTTTCATTTCACAATGTGTTACTACCATTTATTTTGGATACTTTCTCAATTTTACTTCGATTTTGAGGCTATAAATATCCTCTGTCACGTGTGATTTGGGAGGCGTCCACATTGGATTTTCATGTAATTTTATATATAATTAACTGACAATTATAATATTATATTTATAAATTTTGGATCTTTTATATATATATATATATATATTATAAATGGACACGCAATAACTAACCTTATATAGACCACTGGCTAATCCGACGGTTTTCAGGTACTTTAAGATTCGTATTGCAACCCGTTAAACCTAGCTACATTAGCGGGTTCATTACGTCCCTCCGAACTCCAAGTTTCTACGAGACGCCGCTTTCTTCGAGAACCCGTCCGCCCCTTCTCCCGGAGGACGAAAACCCGCCGTTTGTTCCTGCCATGGCATCCGATGCTTCCGCAGCCCTGTCAGGTACAGCATTTCTTCGTTAAGAATCGGGACAAGCCAACCCTTTCTTCCTATTCTCTTCTCGTTTTCTTTTTTTTTTTTTCCTCTGTCTTCTGTTTTATTGATTCGTTCTGGTCGATCCTCTTCTTACGGATGCAGTGAGGCAAAAAGTTCAGAAGTTTCTCGATGCCGCTCGCTCTGGGAACCTCGATCTCTTCAAGAGTTAGTGTCTTGATCGTCGTTCTTTCTTTCGATTCTTGGTTTGGCTTGTTTCCCGAATGTTCTTGTTGCGACTTTAGAGCTGGCGAAGCAGCTAGACGAGGGGAAGGGGCTGGCGACAACGGTGGCTGACGTGAAGGACGCGAATAAGAGGACTGCGCTGCACTTCGCGGCGAGGGAGGGGAGGACTGAAGTGTGTAAGTACTTGCTGGAGGAGTTGAAGGTCGATATCGACGTGAGGGATGACGATGGTATGCATCTGAAAGCTAATGTAGCAGAAGTTGGATATCCCTGTTAAAGAGTCGTTAAAATTCTGATAAACCTTGATTTTGGAGTTGTGAACATGATGAAGAAACTGGCTTTCTTATGAGCTTCTTATTCATTGAATCGTGGACCTTAATACAGTGTTTATGATTGTATGCATTTAGCATGTTATACTTGGCTTGACTAACTTTTTTCCTTTTGCTAAAATCATGTCGTCGACCGACCTGCCTGCAAACTTCAGTTTTCGTAAGCATAATATTCTTTTTGTTGAATATTATTTCTTATACTTTTGTTGTTATTAGAAAATCTTATTTCAGATGTTTCTTCCTTTTAAAATCTTCATTTCGTACATGTTTTTTCTCATATAGGTTAATATATTTGACTGCATAACAAATTTATTTTATCTTGTTGGTTGGATGACCAAAAGGAGCATCTGGTGCTAGAACTGTAATTTTTCTTTTGCTTACAGGCGAGACTCCTCTTATTCATGCTTCTCGTCAAGGACATAATCTTACAGCAAAATATCTACTTGAACAAGGGGCAGACCCTTCTGCTTCCAGTGACTTAGGAGCCACTCCTCTTCACCATGCTGCTGGAACAGGTGAACTCCAACTTTATGGTCAAAGATTTAAATGTGCTTCTCTGGAGTTCTGTTAGCCTCCATATTTATTAGCATGAAAATTTATTGTCGTGTTTTGTTATAATGAGTTGTTCTTATATCTTGGAGATATTCCAAGCTGTAAATTCAGTGCGACCAAATTTTCAAGTATGTCCTTTTCCTGTTTTAGAGCGCTAAGCACTCTATCCTCTGGGGGAAAAAACATGATATTCACTTCTTCTATGTGATATATGACTGATTTTTGAAGTCCTTTTACGATAGACTAACGAGCTTTGATAATCTGCAA